CTGATAATAACATAAAAGGTGAGAATAAAAGTATTTAATGTTTTATAATAATTTTTTGTATTAATACCTATCGGCCCAAAAAAAAAATTAATACATAATAACATTAACATACTATATAATCTTTTAACCAAGATGGTGTCTTGCGAGTACGTTTGTTAATATTGTTTACCTTGGTGTCTATAGTTGGTGTAGGAGAGTTTATTTGGATGTTGTCTGTGAGAGATGTTGGAGGTGATTGTTGATTGATGTCTTCAAATAGAATCTCACCTGGATCATCCAAATTTGGTCTGTATTGAGCTGGTTTAAGTGATTGAACATGAACTATTCTGGAATGATTTTTGTTTGATGCATCGGCCCTGGTAATTTCATAACAAACTTTTCCAMCTGGGCGTACAATGAAAAATGGTCCTTTAAAATTTGGTRTAAGTTTTGTGTCATTTGTAGACTGCCAGTTATACCATACTCGTTGGCCTGGCTGGAAGTTGTGCTGGCTTCTATGTTGATCGAATCTTTTTTTGTTTATTTTGTGATTGTCTTTTAAGTTTTCAATTGCTATACCTCTACTTTCTGCAAGTGAGTCTAGTTGATCCATTCTTGATATGTCTGATTGTACTAAACCTAGTGCCATATCCATATGTGAAAGTTTTGGTTCATAACCATGTACCTAATAAGAAGAAGGGTGAAAACTTTGTGGTGCTTTGTGAGATGTGTTTATAGCTAAGATAAGGTTTGGTAGCTTAACGTCCCAATCCTCTGGGTGCTCTAATGAAAAGTTAGATAAAACTGAAATCATGGTTGCGTTAGAACGTTCTACCAGTCCGTTGGCTTGTGGCGTATATGGTGGACATAGTGAATGTTGTRTTTCATATTTTTCTAAATAGAGTTTAAACTTAGAACTTGTAAATGAAGAACCATTATCAGAAATATATGTAACTGGTAGTCCATAGTGATTTATGATATCATTTTCAATTGTATGAATGATGTCATCTGTAACAGTGGTACATGTTGGTCTGGCTAAAAGAAATCTGGTTGCGTGACAGATGTGTGCTAATATATAACAATTGCCTGCTTTAGTAGTTGGTAGTGAGAGGTGATCAGCTGAGATGACTTCAAAAGGAACTTCAGGTATGGGTCTTTCACCTAACATTCCATATGCTGATGTAGTTCTTCTGTTGACTTGTTGGCAAGTCTTACAACCACGAACATAGAGGGAACAGTCTTGTCTCATGGAACTCCACCAATAGCGTGATTTAATCCTAGATAAAGTTTTCTTAATATCGAAATGATAATTCTTCTCTAATTTCCTCGATCTTAATTGATTTTAATATTGTCCTATCTGTTGAGTCTAGAGCACTCATGATTAAGGATTTAACGAATTGTATTTAACAATATGTAATAATTACGTCGACGTATTTATATACCCACCGTCATCGCGTTACATTTACAGTTTTGTGATTCTCAAATGCAATATTATTTATAATGATTTAACGAATTGTATTTATATTTATGACAATACTGATAATTGATACGTAATTTATCAGTGAATCACAATACCGTAGATAATAGGAGATCTATTATCTATGCGCACTTTATAAGACGACGTTATCAGTGTACGTACTGAAGTTGTTAACGGCTTCGCTTGAGTGTTGGTTACAGTTAACCTCAAACTTGAAAAARGGGAGAAATGTAGAATATGACGTTTTGAAATCCACGTGCAACGTAAGCATGACAGACTTCAAATGTAAAACGGAAAACTCASTATTACGTAAATTTACGTTAAACGACACTAAAAAAATGCAATAAAACGCGTTTCGGTTTGCCATAGCGCCATGTAAATAAATAAAAGACTATTGACGTTTATAGTTAAATATTTATTAGCAAATGGAAGTGAGATGTTCTCTACGTCGGCGTCGGGAACTAACTAACTAGCTGTGCGCAGTATTACMCACAGCAACTGTATAATGATAATGATAAATTGATAACATACATAATATAATAATATAAAAATATTGATAACATAGTAATATGTAAATTAGAACCTTACACTACAAACGCCTATAAAAAAAATTGTGACCAACGATTTTTAATTTTTTTTTGCTACAATAAGAAAAACTCATAAAGAACTTTGTATTAAATTTTCAAGTTTTTTTGGTCATCCAAAACTTTTTTACCGACACTTCAAAAAAAAATTCTCATAAAAACCGAAAATTTCAGCGGTCTATAAATAAATCAAAAAATTCAGACATTTTTGAAAATTAAACTGTATGTAGATAACACTAACATAAACGTTTGGTGAAAATATCAAGTATTTACAGTGATTAGTTTTTGAATTACAACCATATAAAAAATCGATTTGGTCGAAAATTATGGAATTCATTAAGTTTAAGTTAAATTAATCCATATTTAACTTATCTATACTTATTTCACAATAAAAATCTATACAGTCGATACCAAAAATGAGTGCTTATAAGTATTGATAAATTTGATCAAGAGCTAGAAAATTTCAATTTCAATTTATAGTTGTAAGGTTCATACTGTTATCGATAAAATAAGTTCGTGAATTATGTTTCTAGCTCTATTATTCTAGCTACTATTTTCAGTTAAAATATTATTAGTAAAACACAAATTATTTTCAAATAATAATTGTATAAGATGTGAAAATTATAGTAATAAAATAGGATTTTAATTTGTAGGGTAGTCATTGGTCATATTCATCCYTTCTAAAGATGACCAAGAGAAACACGATATTCACTTCATAGGTACTCTTTTATTTTTCAACGACACGGTACAGTAATGGTYGTCGGGGTGCGTATCTTACAACTGAACTAAAATAATACACGATTATATTCGTACGCGGGTCGTGGATCGTTCAACATACGCACATACACATACTACAATAAATTAATAATTGTTACATAATGTACAACCAGTCTGAGTAGTGACGGACATCGGTCACACTTTAATACTTTATCTTATCAATTGATAAGGCCGATCGTTAGAAAACCCACAATTATATAAATGGACAATAAATATAATATAAATTCTTACAAATTGTAATTTATGCTATTAACATTAAAGATTAACTACTATCACAGCATCACTTATAAAAAAAAACAACAAATATTTTAAAAACAAAATACAAATAAAGATGATTGGAAACCTTCATTTCAAATTAAAAAAATATCTGCCTACGTATTATYTCCTCCTGATAAAATTGTATCTAAGCGACCACACTTTCGTTGCACGCCAAAATTCTACCTACTCAAACTACTTCAATATTTCAGCTGAAGTTCTCAAAGGCAGTGACATATCACCCTTTCTGTATTACATATATTCCCAAAACTTCTTTTACTGATCTCGATTCTTATGTGGACGACATGGCAATTGTACCTTCCAATGAAAATCTTTACTTAGTTTCGAATATGATTTAAAGACACCTCGAGGTAGTTTACTATCAGAAAAACAGATTTAAAATCAAAATTAATGAATCCAAGTCCTTATTCATAGCATTCMCCCWAAAAAAAGAAACATGCATGTTTAATCGGTAGCAAAAAATCTTTAAATAAAATGATTAAAGATTTAAGTGGACTGTATGACTTTTATTATGATTGGAATATAATTGTATTGTCACTCGCTATGCTCGGTACAACWTTCGATATGCGACTTATTTATAGAATACAAAATTATCACACTTACAAATGATACAAAGATAATGATATATATCCGAGATAGCGTACGATAATAGATTAATATCATTTGAGCGCTAACAATGCATTTAAGTCACACGATAAGCTATTTCCTAATTCCTAATSCCCATCTAAAGTTAAATCCGCCGGTCTCATACTTGACGAAAATCTAACCTGGAGTACTCTCCTAAAAATAAATGAAAAGCACCTAAGAGGATGTCAAAGAACTATTTTTTTTCTCTCTGTCMTACGCTCAATATAACCTAAACGCATTTACGCAGAATCATTTTTTCTRTCATTTAAGTAATCCTAGAGTGCAATCACCAATAACAAAACAGATAGATAATAATATTTTTGAGGGAATGACAACATTTGTTTGTTATTTTTGAAAGTAGAACATAAAATCATTAACAATAAAATACGATAATATTGTATAATATTGATATGTTATTCCCTTGAAAATATTATTCTCTATTTTTTTTSGCAATTTGTGATTTTAGTATTTTACTSTAAGAGTACTTGAAAAAATAGAAAAAACGATTCTGCGTAATAAATGCGTTTGAATATTATCAAAACAAACGTTTTTAGTCATTTGGTTATTAGACATAGTACATTATAAATAGGTGGGTACCTATATATTTGTTATATAATTATATCTCATCATTTTATTTAAATTATCCAAAAAAGTAAGTACCTATGTTTACATTTAAAGGAATTTGATGCTTTATTAATTAAGCTCCATACTTATCCTAATTTCAGTAGTATAATAAGCATTTATTACATTAATAAATAATGTGTTTAATATAYTTCTGTAGACTATTTGATTTTTTCCAATATTTTCAATTAAAATAATTAGGCCTCTAGTTATCTAAGGGTTTTCCAACGTTCTATAGTAACTGCTAAATTTTCATGAGAATGTCAGCCCACTATTTGTTTTCTCTCTCTTCTCCCACGCACAACATAGACAAAACATATTTTCACAGAACCGTTTTTTTCTATATTTTTAAGTAATCATAGAGTAAAATAATTGTACTAAAAATGTATAGGTTGTAGTTTTATTTCATTAAAAAAAAAAACATTAATCTCTAACTTGTATCTGTTGTATCTGCAACATATTTATTAAATCAGCTGACCTAGATATCTAAAGATAGATATAAGATATAAGATAAAGGCTAACCTAGCCTAAAGATCATCTTTAAATCAAGTTATTACACTACGTCTAAGAAATATTTTTCACGCTGGTAGATGTAGCTCATCAGCTATATTCGCAAGTATATAATCATATTACAATAATATTTCTCTTTTAAGATAGATATGATCTCATTACTAACACTAGTATTGCCAGCACTTTTACACTATAAGATAATGTTAGAACTTCAATCTAATGATTTGGAACGTCATAATAAACTAATAATGTTTGAAGTATGAAAACTTTATACGAATCAAAACCTTTCTTAGCTTGTGATGTTGAAGTAAAATTTAATTCTTTTTAACTTCGGGATCTGCAGACATAGAAMTATATACTGATTGAGTAAGATCATAATTGATCATTTAGTATGGTTGTATAATGTATAGTTATGAACATTGCTACGTTTTGAACTAGTTAAATAAATAATGGTTAAATAATTATTTTTTATTATATTCATTCAAAGAGTTTTAGAATAATTAATTTTTATCACGACAAACTGAATTTCGTTCATTTTACGCAGAATAGGGCGGGAGTAAACCTCGTCGTTTGATTGGCTTATATTTTAACGTAATTTACTGGAATTATATYAAAGACCAATGAAAAACTGAGGAAGATTACATATTATTTTATGAAATGGATTAAGTCATTTTATTAAGTAATACTATAAAGTTTTATTAGATAGGTTTTGAACGAGTAGATAATAAAAAAGATTCAAATTCAAATTCTTGTCAGTTGTCATTAAAAATCTGGTAAATTGTGCAGTCTTCTTATTGTTTTAGAAATCTTCAAATAATTTTATCAAAATTTAAAACTTTTTATTTAAACTATTAGATTCTGAGCGGTGAATGTGTTGATTTTACCATGATGTGTTTTTTTTGTCTGTCATCACGTTTTGGGTAGTAAAAGTGCTTCGATTTTCGACTTCAGTACCTCGATTGATCAGCAAGTGAATGCGGTAGGTACTTCGGAAGGTCGAAAGTAAAAAATTATAAATACWTTTCTAAATAATCGAGAAAAACAAACTAAAAATTAAGGGAAAAACGGGAAATTTTACGCACACTCATTTTTCGACAAAATTGATTTTGGTTTTTGATGTAACTTTAAAACAAATGACCATAGATCCATGAAATTTTCACCGAATGTTTATATAAGTATATTCTATCCACCATGAAATTTTCAAAGAATTTTCACTTAAATTGAACTATTTATAGGCATATGCAATTTTCGATCATTATTAGTTTTTTTTAAATTAATATAGATACAATTTATTTGTTGGGTAGAAAAGCTTGAAAATTTAATACAAGGCTCTTAACATATTGTTTCAATAGCAGTTGAAAAATAAAATAAATTCATAGTCACAATCTTTTTTTATAAGCATTCAAAGTTTGAATTATGACAAAATACGTAAAAATCACAAAAATTCACAATTATTTTAAGCTAGAAATTTATAAATTTTCTTTTTAAATCTAAGATTTGAAAATTAAATATAAGATTCCTTAAAGTTTTTCAATCTTTGTCACAAATAAAAAGTCCACCGGAAATTCAAATTAAATTTTTATGAGCATTTGAAATTTAAATTTTTACAACATTGAATTTTCACTTTTAGCGATTTACTTATTTTGGTGTAATTCTAAAACAAATGACCGCAGATACTTTTTCACTGTTTATATAGGCATTTTCTATATTTGATGAAATTTTCAAAATATTTAAATTTGTTTTGAGCTGTTTACTGACATTTTAATTTTTCAACTTTTTTAGTTTTTTTTTCTATAAATATCGATAAAAATGTATTTGTTCGGTAGAAAGCTTGAAAATTTAATACAAGGCTTCTAACACACAGTAACAATAGCAGTTAAAAAATATTAAAAATACATAAGCATGATTTTTTTTTTATAATCATTTAAAAGTTCAAATTTTGACTAAATACTTAAAAATTACGGCAATGTTCAAACTATCTTAGATAGAAACTCATAAAAGTTTTCATTTTTAGATCTAAGATTTGAAAATTTAATACAAGGCTCCTAACATATTTTTACAATAGCAGTTGAAAAATAAAAGAAATACATGGTCACAATTTTTTTATAAGCATTCAAAGTTTGAATTTTGACAACATATTATGCAAGAATCACGAAAATTCGTAAATTATGTTATGCTAGAAATTCATAAAAAATTTTCTTTTTATATCTAAGATTTGAAAATTTAATACAAAGCTCCTAACATATTTTTACAATAGCAGTTGAAAACTAAACCCCTCAGGGGAGCTCTAAAAGTGCGATGGGTATGGCGAACCCGGGGCCCCGAGCTCTAAACTGAACTGACTTTAATTAGTTGGTTCAGATCTCCCTACTCTGACCTTAATTGGTTGGAGATGACTGGTCCTYCAGGTTGGGGGTTTAGCGCAGGGCTAACGACCCGGCCTAATAAAAAATCTTCTTTTCCGGATCTAATAAACATAAACATGCCTCGGATACATGGAGCTTTGGRTAATAAGACTTGAAATTAGAAAAATGGTTTACTGTTTGGGACATAGAACGTACGTACGTTTTTCAAACCTGGAGCAGCCCAAAACATTGTTAAAGAAATTGAGAAATACAAGTTAAAAATAGTGGCTCTACAAAAAATTAGATRGGATGATACTGGAACGTTAGATATAYAAGAAACAACAATACTTTATGGTAAATGTAATGAACAACGCCAGTTTGGAACTGGTTTTGCAGTACACAAAAGCTTAATACCAAATAAAAGGGAATTCAAAGATATCAATTCAATAATCTCATTATTGACAATAAAAGCGCAGTTGTTCGACATAGCTTTCATAAATGTGCATGCGTTTTCCGAAGATAAGCCGCAGGAAAAGAAGGATGATTTATATGAGTGCTTAGACTTAACATTMAATGCATTACCTCAATACAGAATAAAAATAGTCTTAGGTGACCTAAATGCAAAAGTTGGTAAAGAGGCTGTATTCAGACCAATAATTAGTAGTCACAGCCTGCACGAAGCTTCAAATGATAATGGATTAAAACTTATCGATTTTGCATGTGGAAATGGTCTTGTAGTGAAAAGTACAATGTTTCCTCATAAAAATATTTATAAGGGAACATGGATGTCACCTGATGGAAGACATATCAACCAAATCGACCATATTTTAGTGAGTGCAAGATTAAAAAACTGTATTCAAGACATAAGAACGATGAGAGGAGCCGATGGTGATTCGGATCACTATCTGGTTAAAGGAAAAATGAAAGTCAAAATAATAAGGAAGAAGAAGAAGAAGAAGTTGAAAACTAAAAGAAATAGATGGTCACAATTTTTTTTTATAAGCATTTAAAGTTCAAATTTTGWSTAAATACGTACAAATTACGGCAATGTTCAAATTATTTTACGCTAGAAATTCATAAAAATTTTTCCTTTTATATCCAARATTTGATAGATAATGGCTTATCGCTATGAATAATTCCTTCTAACTGTTATTTCACTCTCCACGATGTTCAAGCTACCCTCTATTCCTTAAAAAATATCTTTTCTAGCAGCACTGATGGTATTTCTGCGTGACTGCTCTTGAATTGTCGAGATTCAATTATATTTCCTTTATTTATGCTCTTTAGATGTACTTTAGATGAGGMCATTTTTCCTGCCGTATGGAAAACCTGTTCAGTTACATCTGTTAAAAATCTGAAAGACCTAGCCTAGACCCAACCTAGCTTTTACATCGTGTATTTTAGAAAGTTTTGAATCTGGTTGCCAAAATGATACAGTGTTCATTAATTTTGAAAAATCCATTGACGCGGTTAATCACTGTCGTTTTACTACAAAGAAGTCCCACTCGGAATTGGTAACTCATTGCTCTACTGGCTCCAGTTGTATCTCAGTTACAGAGTGCAGTATGTTAAAGTTCATTGTACCTCCTCCAATTTKTCAACTCTATTTTCAAAAGTTCCCCAAGAGGGATGTTGGCTAGGTATATCATTTATATAGACAGAGAAATGATATGGTGATAGACATAACCCCTGAGGAATGTCTGCACGAATTTTTCTCGAGGATGACAATAAGTCACCAATTTTTACTTAAAATATTCTGTCTCGGAGAAATGATCCGGGGAGATTGATAAGTTAACGAGGAATGTCCATGGTGAATAATTTAAATATAAGACATTCATGTCAGACTTTATTGAGTGCCTTCGRAATGTCCAGAAAGATGGCTGCTGTGTTTTGTGTCTAATATTCTATGAATATTCTACTGAATCTATTACATTTATTAGTTTATCCATAGTATTATGTAAAGAAATTGGTCTGTGATTAGTTGGATTATTTTGGGTTTTCACCCGGTTTTGGTAGCATTATGATTTCTGCTTCTTTCCATGATTTTGGGAAGTATTCGAATCTGGCAGACATTGAATTTTTGGCAAAGATAGTGCATACATTTCTTTCCACTGTGAMGCTGTTTCACAGCACAGTTTGAAATCTTGTCTAGTCCTGAAGAACTTTTAATGGGTTTTAGATTGTTCTTCCATTGAGTGTGCAAGCAGGTTTGCCTTACCTTTAGGATGGAATTGAAGATTTCCTTCCTRATCTTGAAGTAGATTGACTGGAGGCGTTGTTTGAAGAGGTCTTCTATTTAGTTTGTAAAGCGTTGACCAACCTCCAAAGAGAGATGAATGTAGTTCAAATATAGATTAAAAGATTTAAACTTATAGTATAATATCACCTACAGTAACAACGTTTATATAGTCAAATAATAATATTAAAAATGTAAATATAATGAGGTAAGATTATATAAGAAATAAGAAATTTAAGTGCATTGTGTATTAATACACAGTAAAAATATATTTATTTTTTAAGTACCTACTACCTATCTAYCTATTTTAGATAACCTAAATTAATATTAAAGTTTCTGTTAAACACAGTTTTAACAAAAACGAATGACACTTTTGACCAAAAATAGTTTTTAATTTTAAAATTCTTTAGATCTTTTACAATGATCATATTGAATATTATAATTTCAAAGTTCCATTCGATAATCAACATGTTATCTAATATCTACATTATGCGGACGATACTATATTGCGCATGCGTACCATGAGCGGTGCATTCCTTATTTAAACGCTCCTTATAAAACCAGATGGTGCACTTCTTCGATTTACTGATAACACGAACCTACCTCAAATCAGTATGGTCACATAAGAGAAATAAATTAATGTACAACAACTTTTACCATCATTTTTAATTATTGTATCAAATAATATTTAATACATAATAATTAATTATATTATATTATATCATATATAATTTATATGTACTTTGAGCGTCAATGGCTCAATGCTAATGGAATTCCAAAAATCATCTAAAATTTTGCGTAGCTTTAATTCAATATATGGATTAGTCTGTTATAATCTTCGGGCTTACGTTTATCAAATCTACTTGTATTTTTTAAAACTTTAAAACAGATAATCATGTTAAGCACAYAAATACTTCMCCAACAKTTTTTGAGAAGTGATTTTTAAATATTTAAAATACTTTTTTGTGCATATTATTCCAGAATACTAAATTTGTTTTATCTTTTTCGATATTTTTATTTACACTTCAAGAAATAGTG